GCTGTCATGTGTCATCTGTCCAATGATTTTGTTGAAACAATTGTGCCCTGTGTGATCCAACGATTCAGGATATACAGTATGGTGTAAATGAATGGAATAAATTCATTATCTTTAACGCATATGAATTTGAAAAAAAATCCTGAGACAGGTCGATTTTTATTTTCAAATTGACACCTCTTGATATACATACGGACTTTGTAACGTCATCCGCGTAGTTGTGGTGACGTCATCGATAATTTTTTCAAATTGAAACATCCCCTTTTTATTTTTTTTTCGGAAGGTATATTCATTGTCTATCCAACCATATACTGATATTAGCAAAACAAAGTAATAAAGGGTGAGGAAAAATTATCAATTATTTTATAATTACAACGGAAACAATTACAATTTTTTCTCAACGAACCCTTTCATATAATGGTAAAGCACAAAACACTTCAATAGTGCGCCATATTGGATTTAGAGTGATGTGACATTATTTCTACTTATTCTCGGCAAGCCCTTTCATTTGATACCCATATCGCAGCAGTGCATAAATAATAACTATTCCGCCATCTTGGATGGTCCGCCATATTGGATTAAGAATGACGTCACATTATTTTTCGAGTTGCTTTCAACGAACCCTTATGATTTGATACCCATATTGAAGAAGTAGATTGAAAATAACTTCCGCCATCTTGGATGGTCCGCCATACTGGATTTAGAATGACGTCACATTATTTTTCGAGTTATTGTAGGAGTGCATTAAAATAACTATTCCGCCATCTTGGATGGTCCGCCATATTGGATTCAGAATGACGTCACATTATTTTTCGAGTTACTTCCAACGAACCCTAATGATTTGATACCCATATTGAAGAAGTAGATTGAAAATAACTTCCGCCATCTTGGATGGTCCGCCATACTGGATTTAGAATGACGTCACATTATTTTTCGAGTTATTGTAGGAGTGCATTAAAATAACTATTCCGCCATCATGGATTGTCCGCCATATTGGGTTTAAAATGAAGTCACATTATTTTTCGAGTTGCTCTCAACGAGCTCTTTCATTTGAAACCCATATTGCAGAACTGCATTTACATAACTATTCCGCCATCATGAATGGTCCGTCATATTGGCTTTAAATAAGGTAACATACCTTATCGTGCATTGTACTCCAAACTAAACGTGTATACAAAATCTCAGCTGAATCGTTTGAAGATATCTACTTCATAATTGAGATCGAAGATTCTACCGGACCGAACATACTTACATACATACATTGTAAGTTGAATAAACGCTTTTAATTTCATAATCAAAAATATTGCTGCTGAATACGATAAGGACAAAGTATTGGATTGTCCAAAAAAATTCCAATCTCTTATCTATATCATGATGGATCAATCGTGATATTACTGATGTTTTGTATATTTGTATTCTTTGCACAGGGTTTCCTAACTTCTCTGGCAAAATGAAAGAAGCGAATCCTCACTAATTTCAAGGCAAAAAAATGTTAAACAGTTTTTCTCCAATGTTGCTTAGTTTTCAAAATACAAGGTGTTCAAATTTTGGTTTCAAAACGAAAATGAAGTGCCATTCAAAAAACTTGTTTACCATGTTTTCGCCTTAAAATAAATTGATTACGATTTAGCCAGGCCAGGAAAGAATCACTTGTATCAGTATTCGTTTATACGAGTCGATGCATAGATTTCGGGAGGATGAAATTCAATGTACTGCGTGGAATTAGCCAGGAAAGTAGTTGTTTTTCTCCCGAAATCTACCATTGTTGTTCATTTTATGACCATTGTGTGGAAATGAATTCGAGCTTTTTGTATTTATTTGACATTTCATTCCACTTCGAGAATTGTGACTATTGCGTAATTGACCTTGTTTTTGTATTGTGTTTGGGTAAATAAAATTAGATTTTCTTCAGTGAATTAATTCCGAGACATTTTTCATTTTTTTTTATAAAAGTCATGACTTATTCCTAACCCGATCTACAGCGTGTCTCATTTCAAACGGCCCCCCTTTATATCTCAGCTATCAGTCGTGCGATCTTTAACAAATTTGTATCGGTATGAATAATCATCAATATGACCAGTTCCTCAAAGACAAACATCATTTAAGACAGTGACGTGCATTTTTATCGAAATGAATAGGGGTCACATTTTTATTAAATCATGTTAGGCATTTTTTCACAGGAAAACTGACCTCATAATATTGTTCTTCATGGTTTCAAACCCACATATGTGGATTTTCATAAGATGCCTATGATGGGTTTCAGAAAAACAGGCACATCTAAATAGCATTTTTGCGAACGTAATGATTATTTACTCGGGAACGGTGAGTTTAACATAACAAAGTATAACTAGTTTTTCCTTCCAAATCATGATTTTCCACCTACCGAAGCCTTTGAACGTTCCAAAATTCGTAGTTGATTTGAAGTCACTTTTTATTCCAGACTTAAAATGAACAAAATGAAGCCAATCCTGTTAATCCGGAATTAGATGATTTTTTGCATATGGTGGTTCGAAAGCATGAGGAACAATAATGCGAGGTTAGATTTTTTGTAAAAAAATGCCTAATATGATTTTATGAAAAATCGACCCCTTTTTAGTTCAATAAAAGCGCACGGCACTGTCCAAAATAATGTGGCTTCTCTGTAAAACTGATCATATTGATGGTTATTCATACCACACCAAATTTGGTTGGAATCGCATGACTAATAACTGAGATATAGAGGGGGGGCCGTTTAAAGTGAGACACGCTGTATATATTTACACAGTACATAAAGAATTTTATTAAGTATGAAGTTCTTTCTTCGACTATCCTAATGTATTTTATAAAAAAAAAATTGAGATTATTGCAAAGCTACAATGCATAATCTATTTCTGTAGTTATTCCATTTATGCGTTTTCTGATATTAAAGTATTTGCCTCCCATCATAATGTATTTTATGCTGTTAGTTGTATACTTCTGAATGTTTTTGTCTTGACTAGTCCAATAAGTTTTACATGTATACAGGGTGATCCACGGTGGATGGCCTATTAAAAGTATCTGGAGAACATTCTCTATCCGTCTAAAATATTTTTATCGGTACAGTGTTGCCACTTCTATTAGAAACAACTAGCAACTTTGTTATTCCAAATGGAACACCTTTTTTTTCATCGAGGTGGTTGAAATCTTTTATGGACACCATATGGGTCCAATCCCCCATATGATAGTGTGGGAGTCCCCTGACTGACTGAGGTATACCCACTAAACATTCCACCCCGTTTGTAGGCTTGTCTGACCGAAGTCTCCGACGACACTTAGACCTAGTGGCCCATTGTATCTTACCTACATGCCATTATCAATTTTACCATATACGACTCATGGTGCTTCTTAAGGGTCACTTCAATATGAAAGACCCTTTTCGTTCAGGTTCCTGAAGATTGCTCCGAGGGGTAAATCTCCAGGAAAAATGTGTACACCAGACTTTCAATTACCAAAGACTTCCAAAGACTTCCAAAGACTTCCAAAGACTCCCAAAGACTTCCAAAGACTCCCAAAGACTTCTAAAGACTTCCAAAGACATCCAAAGACATCAAAAGGCTTCCACAGACACCCAAAGACTTCCAAAGACATCCAAAACATCCAAAGACTTCCAAAGAATTCCAAAGAATTCCAAAGAATTCCAAAGACTTCCAATGGAGTGTACACCAGACTTCCAAGGAGATTTACCCCTCGGATTGCTCTTCCGATCCCTGTTCTCTTCTACGAAGAAGGCCAAAAGTTTTCCTTCTCCTACGAGTGACGGGGGAATGAGTTGGTCTAGCCCTGTGGTGCCCCCTGCACAGGGCTAAGGCTGCTTACTCTAAGATGTCGCCCTGTTTCCCAGAGGCCCCGTTAGCGACACCATACCTCGGTGCCATTCATCCATCACCACGGGTTCCCACAGCTTGGATTAGGTTGCCAGAGCCTCGTTGACCAGTCCTCGGCCACCTAGACAGATATCAGCAAATCTCCCCATCCCTGCTACAGATGTCCACAAATTGTCCCATCTGGCCGGAGATAGCAAAGATGGTCCCAAAATGCTTCATCCGTCGAGCGGCCGCGGTCTGTCCTCCCCACACCACTTAATGGTGAGGTTGGGCTTAGAGAGGAGGAGGAAAAAAGAAGTTGGCCAAGAAAGGCCGATAGATAGATTGAAAAAGGGAGAGAGAAGTGGATATCACCCAAGACAAGTTGAAGTATGGTGAATATCCGGCTAGGGTACCTCGGGTTCACCATTCCTGTACTCACAAGTTGTGAGCCCCTGAGGGGAATGGAACACCTTGTATTTTATTGCATTTTTAGATTCTTCCTGAAGAGCTGATTCCATCAATGCATCACACTTGGGGTCTAGCAGGAATGATTACAGAGATATAGGGTGTTCAAAATCGAGATTTTTCTATTTCAGGATTTTTTTGTGTCGAAACTATTCATTATCGATCAAAATGGCTTACATGTCCCTATCTCAACTTTTGATTCACTATCTACTGGAATTTAATTGGAAAAATTGCAGGGTGCTTCAAGATTCAGAATTCTGATCACTCTGTATCTGTTCCAATTAAATGTCGCAAAGAAATCCTAAAATTGAAAAATCTCAATTTTGAATACCCTATATCTCTGTAATCATTCCTGCTAGACCCCAAGTGTGATACATTGATGAAATCAGCTCTTCAGGAAGAATCTAAAAATGCAATAAAATACAGAGTACTCCATTTAAAATCACGAAGTTGCTAGTTGCTTCTGATAGAAGTGGCAATCCTGTATCGATGAAAATATTTTAGACGGATAGAGAATGTTCAATTATCAAAGCATCTCAATTTTCAGAATGTTCTGTCTTTTCGTTCTCCAGATACTTCTAATAGGCCATCCACCGTGGATCACCCTGTATATTATTCTGTATGTGTATGTAAAATTTCAGTGATGAATAAATTTTATTCTATTCTATTCTATTCTATTGCTATGAAGTCTGACCACCTGACCTTTCTGTTCAGTACCAAGTGGCCCAGCTGTTCAGTGTAGCTGAGGCGTCCAAAGACAACACGGGCGGAGGCGAGGGCATCGAGGTCCTTAAAAACGAGCCCTTCACAAACTACCCCCTGTTGGGCGGCAAATACAACACCGGCCAGTACACGTACAAGATATACCATCTGGCCAGCAAAGTACCGTCCTTCATAAGGTTGCTGGCGCCCAAGGGTAGCTTGGAGATACACGAGGAGGCTTGGAACGCCTATCCCTATTGCAAGACTGTGATAACGGTGAGATTGTTTTTTTCCGTTCCTCAAAGTCGGCAGGATATACAGGGTCACGGTCATCACACTATCTTTATACCGAGAATCAGTCAGGAGAAATCCATGAAAATATTCATGCTCATATTTAAGAATACGCTCTCTTCATTTAAAATATTTTCCATAATGCGGTGTTGCCGCTTCAACTAGAAAGTAGTAGCAACATTGATATTTCAAACGGAACACCCTGTATTTCATCGGATTTTTAGGTTCTCCCTGAAGAGTTGATTTTAACGATGTATCACACTTGGGGTCTATCGAAATAGATTACAGAGATATAGGGTGTTCAAAATCGAGATGAAAAATCTGAAAACTTTAGGTTTTTTTCGATTATCGGTCATTCAAGATTCAGAATTCTGATCACCCTGTATCTGTTCCGATTAAATATCAGTAAATAGTAAATCAAAAGTTGAGATAGGAACATGTGAGTCGTTTTGGCCGATAATGAATAGTTTCGACACAAAAAAAATCCCAAAGTTGAAAAATTTCGATTTTGAACACCCTATATCTCTGTATTCATTTCCGATAAACTCTCAGTGTGATGTATCGATGAAATCAGCTCTTCAGGGACAATCTGAAAATGCAATAAAATACAGGGTATTCTATTTGAAATAACAAAGTTGTTGCAACTCTTTGATAGAAGCGGCAACACGGCATTGCTGAAAATATTTTAAATGAAGAGAGCCTATTCTAAGATATAAGCATGCATATTTGTATGGATTTCTCTCGACTGATTCTCGATATAGAGATAGTGTAAGCTCGTCGTGACATCATACCCTGTATATCAGTGATAAATATCCGGATATATGTCTTGATAAAAATCATGATATTTATTCGACGATATTCATCCTGATATACCTATATCAACTGTTTTTTTTTTCTTCTAAAATTACATTGATCAGTTTAGAAATATTGTCACGCTGGCGCTGCACCGGTAACAGCGTATTATCTTGCGTTGGGTCATGGTGATTCCGGAAGGCGTATAGTCATTCCCCTGTACAGCACAGAGTAGGCCTGGGAAAAAATATCGATATATCGATAAATTTATCGATTTATCGAATAACGAGATATAATTGCAAAAATATCAATATATCGATAACTATCGATGACAACACATGAAAAACAACCGATTTCAAACATACCTTTTTTAATAATAAAACTGTATTATATTTCTACCTCTTCAAGAGGAGATCTATGTGTACTGAACAGGGTGTCTCTTTATATTTTTTGGCCCCCTACCTACAGCGTCAACTATACAAAGTGGAAAACACACAAATATTAAAGTTGTAGAGTTTCATTTGTACTATCTTATCACAAATTTGCAAATTTAATGAAACCCTATATTCTTCCAACTTTAGTGAATCTTTTTCATGAACATACATATATACAGGTTGTTCCGAAATTACATAGAATATTTCAACCACAGATTCTGGGATCGAAAATTGTAAAGAAAAAAAAATTAATAAACATGGGTCCAGAAATGCCCATCTGGAAACCCTCTGTGATGAAATAACCAAATTCTGTACATGTGTCACTTTCTATGCCCAATTTGAAAATGTTGAGTTTGATGAACTGTTGATTAGGTGCATAGAAAATTGGTAGAGTTAGGGATACTTTTTCCCCAACTTCTTTGTTTATATAGTTTTTAGCATTTTGGCCAGGAAATATGAGAATACTATCATTTTTACTCAAAAATTGTATTGGCTATTTATCAATTCACGCATGCCATCACATTGTGCTGTTGTACAATGCATAAAAAATGTAGCGAGAGACGAAGTAATCCGGTTGGTACATTATAATTTAAAAGTAAGTACCTACTATAGTCACTCACATATAGTTTTTATTTTGGAATTTAGTAAGTTCTCTGATTTCTCATCGGAATTCCTCCTGCAATAGGAGCTGATAGAAATACTAGTGAAATTTCTAAAAGAATGCAAGGAGATTGGATTCATGCAATCAAACGGGAGGACTGGTCTGACATGCTGACGAAATATGATCGTGTTTGTTGTAGACATTTTCAATCTATTAGCAGTAGTAGCTTCTATTGCAGAAGTGGCAGAAGAATTTTAATAAGAAATGACAAAATTTCATAATAAAAACAATGTGAGTTACTATTTACTTGAAAAATCATATTCCTTCGTCTCTCGCTGCATTTTTTGTGTATTGTACAACAGCACAATGAGAAGACATGCTTGAATTAATGAATAGCGCAAAAGAGACGATTCGTATGCGAAAATATTGTGAACAACTATTTCAATTCTTTGATTCCTCTATAAACAAATAAAAAAGTGAGGTTGTGTTTCAATGTTTCACAGAAAAGTGAGGTTGTGGTTCAATATTTTACCTCCAAGGTCGGTCATCTTGCACGCGACCTATACATGTTTTTGTGTTCATCAAGTAGGATAAAAAAAAAAAACTGCAAATTCTGCTGGAATATTAAAAGTGCTGTACACCCTACAATTTTCATTAGCCCTGTAAAATGATGAATAATAAATCTCGTTTCACTGTATTATAATTGGACCATGTTTCAGAATCCACCTTATATGAAAGAAAAATTCAAATTAGTCATTGAAACCATGCATGCCCCCGATAGAGGTAATCAAGACAATGTGAGTAATAATTTTCTTCTTCTTTTTTCTATGTTTGTGGGAACATTTTGTCTTCATGCTATCACAATGCTTGTGGGAACATTTTCGCATCTCGTCATTTGAATGTACATGTCCATCTGGTTTGGTTACCCTTTGAAAATACTAAAGAATCCAGGTTACATGAAGGATAATTTCATAATCTGCATTGAAAGTTTTCACATCGCTGATACTGGGAAGCAGGATAACGTAAGTAGATAATCATGGTATTTGTGCTAGATTAGATATTTCACCTACTATCACACTAAACTGCATGTTATAACACTAATCTGCATTAACACAAATATGATTCAGTTCAAGGAAAAATAAACTGCCGTTTATAAGGAATTTGATATGCACGTTTCTGGAGAAGGTAACTCAGGATTATTCTGAAAAGTTGGTGCCTTGGATAATCAGTTGTGTTCTATGGACTTAAAATATTCTCAGTGTTGCGACGTTGATGCTTATATTGAAAAGTAGCAAAAACTTCGATTTTTTAAATTGGACACCCTGTATATTATTTCATTTTCAGATTCACCCTGAAGAGCTGATTCTATTGACCAATAACACTTAGGGTCTAGCAGTAATAAATACAGAGTTATAGGATGTGGAAAATCGAAATCAACTTTGGGAATTTTTTGTGTCGAAACTATTCATAATTGATCAAAACGGTTTTTATGTCCCTATTCCAACATTTTATTCACTATTAATTGATATTTAATTGAAATAAATACAGGGTGGTTCACAATTAAGATTTTTCCCCACCCTGTATCTATTTCAATTAAATCGTGAATCAGCCTGTATAATTCCGAGCATTTTCAGGTTATCCATAGAATACAGATTAGAATAATATAATCACAAATAGGCCATAGGCTTGAAAGGCTTCAAATGCATACAATTACAATACACGATCAAAACAAACCAAAAAGAAACTAATACATTTTTATTGTTAATTTAGACAATAATAAGACAGAAATGACGTTGAGAACAAGTTAAAATAAATTGAAGTGAATGCTCGAATGCCTTACTATTCAGAAGTTGAGAAAAGTTGTGTCAAGAAATGCAATTTTATGTCTTATACATATATGCTAATTTTCATTCTTGTATCGTTGGAATCAAAATAGCGATAGGGAAGAATTATTTCTCCTCTGGAGCAACTGGATAATCCTGTACAAATCCACAAATTATCACTAATAAAGTTTTATCCAAAGTATTTTCAAATGGCAACACAAATTAATGGAATTGTGAACACTACAAGGTGTTCTTGAAATAAGTGCACATATTCGGCACATGATACAGTCTAAGGAATATTCCCATGTTATCAGATTTTTTCTAATTCTTCTAATTAACCAGAAATTTCATTCCAAAAATTGAACAAAATACGAGAAAAAAGTCAAGTACGCCACTTCAAAACAATTTAAATGATTGAACTCCGCGTGATTGTGCCTACCGCATGGAAATTTGAACAGAGGTGACGTCAGATTTGCTACAGTGTAGAACTTTGGGTGGAAAAAATGGTCTTACCGCAAATTTTATTTTGATCCCTATTTTTTTTTATTAGTGCCATTCGTTAGTACACGTCGAGCTTTCTCAGTGTTTGAAATATTTGCACTTATTTCAATTCCACCCTGAATAACATTCGCATTTTCATAAATGAAGATTTTCATAATCACAAAATAGTATTATTTTGTATTCAATTACAAAAGAATTTGCTACCGAAACAACAAACGTACTAGTGAAACCGTTTTTTATGTTGATAAATTAACTCCTCCATAGAAGTTCATCTAGTTGGATATTGTTAAGGCAAACTTCAAGAAACACGAAATCGTCAATAAAGTTAATAATAATTATTGTCGTTGATTTATCTTGCTATAAAATTCTCGAATTATATTTTATTGGATACATTTCCTTGCTCAAAATAATTTAGTCTCAGTAATTTCACTCGTAAAACTGACAATTTTTTCATTGGCACATTTTTTTTCGTTAGAAAGATAAACTTATCCGACGAAAAAATATCTTATGTTCTTGCTGTTGAAAAAAAAACTATCTATTCATTGATCTAGGCAGGGTATTGTCACGAGACTGAAATTGCAATTTCACGAGAAATTTCTTATTTTGTGCATAAAAAAAAAGAAAACCACAAACAGTCACACCCTCACACATACAAATACACGTTTCTTCAATAGGATCTATCGAACATTTTTGTGTCTTATTTTCTATATGTTTCAGGTTTGATAAGTCTAACTTCACACACTAACCGACGAAATAGATAAATGAAAAGAGTTCATGCGTATTCGGAAGTTTGCTCGAATTTTCACTTATAATATCACAAGAGCTCGAAACATTTCAGGAATAATTTACGCTTGTCTGATATTCGGTATGAAAGTGGCACACCCCAAGTTCAAATCAAACCAGGGATTTTAAATTGATTTCACTGGTCGCGAAGGTATTGTTTTTGACCTATGTTGATTTGTCATTTTTGTTTAAACAGTTCTGTCAAATAGAAAATACCCAGATACAAACCACGACTCATAGTACACCCCCTTGTCGCCTTTTTCCTTCAGCTATATCTCTGAAGTTTGGAACATTGTCGGCATTTTTTGACATTTTGGAAAAATGAATCAACTTCTGCCACTTTACGCCCGCAAACATGGGCGGTAAAATGCCACTTTACGCCCGGTCATTCATAAAATTAAATACTTACGATCATTTTTGTTCATTTTATGGATGCTCGAAGTTAGACAGGTCAAATCTGGAACAATCTATATAACTATATTTAATTTTTTTTCAGAATTACACCAATGCTTCGAATGTTGATAGTCTTTAATTTGAATTATTAAGTTACAGATTATAACGGTCATAAATTTGACACTTGATGTAAATGACTAGTGATTATATTGGAATACATTTCTCAATAGCAATTCCTTACATCGTAAATTCATGCGTTCAAATGAAAAAAAAATCGATAGCTCCAATTGGAAGAGAAGATCCTGTATCAATGCTTTTACTTTTATTGGCGACACAAAAATTCTCAGTTGAAGCCGAGTGGTAGAATTTGAAGCAGCCTAAGAAGGGTACTTTGCCTACGTCAACTAAGGAATGTAATTTTTCGTGATGTAACTGATGTAACCAAACGCTTTTGCAACTAACTGATGGGAACTGTTTCTCTTTGGAAGGCATCTTCCCTAGGACTTTGTCACTTGTGTACAAAGTGATTCTCAATTCCACCGAAATCTCTAGAGTGCTGATTCTCCAAACAGAAATAATCATTGACTTATTTATTTATTTATTTATTTATTTATTTATTTATTTATTTATTTATTTATTTATTTATTTATTTATTTATTTATTTATTTATTTATTTATTTATTTATTTATTTATTTATTTATTTATTTATTTATTTATTTATTTATTGATTTATTTATTTATTTATTTATTTATTTATTTATTTATTTATTTATTTATTTATTTATTTATTTATTTATTTATTTATTTATTTATTTATTTATTTATTTATTTATTTATTTATTTATTTATATATTTATGCACCTATTGAGTATTGAAAAAATAACTTCCAGTCATAATAATACTAAAAAAATTATATCAATATTGAGAATGAGCAGTCAGTGATTTTTTTTTCTATTGATGGAAATATCCACATGTGGCAACATCAAGGTGAAATATGTCATGTTGCTAAGTTTGGTGATTATGAATTTTATGTTTCTTCTTAAAATTGAATTGGATTTCAATGTCCAATTCATGATATATGACATTTTCATAGTTCAATTTCAAACATCTCATCTAATGGAAATATTTTTGTAGTTGACATGTAGGTATGTGTATTTAATGCGAATATTTTATTGAATTGTTATTTGAACAGTATCCCAAAAATTTCATCAAGTATATGTTAATTACATTTTTTTAAATAATATGATTTCTATTTACATGTATCTGAAAGTACCGTATCGTCTGCAGAAATAGTATAGTTACTTTCTATATCAATTTTGGTGATATTTTTGTCTTGGGAATGAGCCCACGAGATATTTTGTTGGAGAACACTGTATAATCAACACAACATTCATACTAAATTGTCGTCACAGAACTAGAAGTGTCGTTTTTAGGCAGCTTCTAAATTGTGTCACTATATCATTCCAATCGTATTTCAACCTCAAATTCGGAATTGGAAAGTTCAAGTTCGGAAAATTTTTAAAGTCGTCGATTTTCTCGGTGACATTCTGCTCACCAGGATGATACATGAAAAAATATGAGTTTGAGCAAGGATGTATGAACTAATTTTTTGTTTTTCAATTGAAAAAGTGAAATTTGAATGACTGATCATTAAACAACAAAACGAGATCATGGTTAAAATTGAAGGATAACTCAAGTCTCAAAATTCACTCCTGGAAATGAGTATATCAAATACCTGATACATTTAATCTTTTTTTCAATTATTCGACATTATACAATTAATTACAAAAAACAGTTCACAATATGATATTATGAAGATCTACTGTCAATTGTCAGTTCTGTCACAAGTCAGCTGCAGCGGTTAACGGGAAACATACAGTAGTTGAACGAGGATTCATTATAACATCCTTTCCAGTAAAGTGCAATCAACCGCTCAAAATAACCTTAGAGACAGGCCAACGAAAATCGTCCAAAAATTCCTCACGACGACGTATAACTTTTTACTATATTGAAATTATCATCATTTTGACTTATTGAAAACTAGGCTATTATGAAGTAATTCTGCTGATTCAACATGAACGGAAAAAATATCGCCGGCGCGAGTAGAAGTTGGTTTCTCTGGTAACAAAAGAGGGACAGAAGTCTCGTATTATTCCCTAGGGAGATAATGTGACATATTTTCTCCCTAGGGAGTATTTACCAACTTTACATTTTCCGCATAGCTCTGCGCTTTTTCTCGGAACACCCTTCTCTGAAGCGAGTATAAGCTGCATCATACAGATTTCTAGAGATCTCACTGGTAGCAGGTTGAGAATCACTGCAGAAGCAGTATCAATAGTTTATTGGGGTTTTTACTCGATTTCTTGTTCCATAACCATAACAGTTAACCATTTTCAAAGATGTTTTCATGAATTTCAGTTTGATATTTGCTGTCACCATGGGTTGTTAACAAGATGTATGTCGGATTCCACTAACTATACTACTACTAATTATGACAAAACACTCGACACAATTTTTATTCTTTCTTAATTTTTGTGTGTGCGTAAAAAATAATATATACACCTCAGGACAGAATGTTTTTCCCTCGGTGCTTTGTATCTCTCGGGCTTCGCCCTGGAGCTACAATTCGCACCTTGAACAAAATCTTGCATTTCTGTCCCTTGATGTATAATGTACTATTGATTAAACAATATGATTTATTTTCTGGAATTGAACTTAGCAATTGATTCTGAAATTTAGTTACTCATTTCTAAATCAAATTAACCAGTTCTGTAATCAAGAGATGTTTTCTGAAATTGAACTTACCAATTCGGAATTTGAGGTTGATTTGAGTCGCGAATATAGTCTTTGCGTCGCCAATACCGACATAACCTACTTTCTAGACAGCTTCATGTCGTATCCCATCAACCCGAAATCTCATCCAAACTATTCGCCTAAACAATCTAACCTAACTCGACCTGAATGTGCTTGTCATATAGTCTAATAAATATACAAAAACTTCAAAAGAACAGTGTCAAGTACAAAGGTACTCTAGCTTCAAGAGCTGCATTTCAGGTCCACGAATTATCCAACGACAAACTGAAACAGAGGGAAGTGGTGCTCATCGACATTGCCAATGACGCTGTGGCGTCCGGCGACTTCAAGGAAGACGAGGACCCCACCAAGTTCAAGTCGCAAAAAACGGGTCGAGGTCCCTTGGTCGGTCCCGATTGGAAGGAGCGGGTTAATCCGGTGATGACCTGTTACAAATTAGTTACTGTAGAATTCAAATGGTTTGGACTGCAGGTGAGGTATTAATTAAAAAAAAATCCAATACCTACCTCCTGTCCCTGTCCTCCCTAGGAATGCAAGATGTTCTTTGAACATTATAGGGATTTCCTTTCGTGCGCTCCAAGCGATGAAAAAGAATCTGGTAAAATGAACGTTTTCCATGTGTGGAAGATTCAGGCTATGTTTATACCATGTGGATAATTGGTATGCTTGATTGCTTTCCTAACAGATCAGACAAAATGACTAAAGTAATATTCTTTCAATATGAACTAACTGAAATATTTCACTAGGACTGAACTGATTCGTTCTTTCGAATGACGTTCATTATGTACAATGCATGTCAACTGATTCAGTTCAGTTCAAGTGAAATGTGTCAGTTAGTTCAGAGTGAAAGAATATCACTTGAGTTAACACATTTTTACACAAATATAGTTCAGTCATGGGGTAGTTTTAACTGTAAAAAACTAGAGGAGAAGAAAAGAGGGTGCGTTTGGTATCCTATATAACGACCCACATTTTGCAACCCAAATTTCCTGTTGTATTACGCTCCAGTTAGAGGGAGATCTAGTGAAGCAGGCCGTGGAGTAATGATATGCTTTTTCAATAAAACATAACTGGCTAGAGGCATTTCCATCATATTCAAAATTATTTTTATGAAATAAGTTCGGAACTCTTTAGTTTTATGTCCACGCTGTACAGAATGGCGAGCGATAAAGTACAAGTCCAAGAATAGCTAATGAATAGAATAGAATATTTATTCATCCTTTGTGTTCATATACATGAAATAGGACATGTCAGTGGAGAAGTATAAAAATGTCTGAGATTAAATCGTAATATAAACCTACATATTAAAAATGAACAATCATAACATCCATAGAAGAATCACAAACAGAATACATTGGGGACATTTAAATACAAAAAGTTGAGAATTGAATATCAGAATTCAAAAATCAAAACATTCATATACATAAAGTTAAGAATTAAATATTAAAAATTAAAAATCAAAAACTGTACTCCCAGTTCACTTATAACTAAGGTATTCAGAGGTGGAGTAAAAACTATGCAGTACCAAAAATTCTCTGACTTTTTTCTTGAAGAGGTTGTATGATTGAATATCTTTCAGCTCAGATGGTAAATTATTGAATAAATTTGTTCCAGCCAGAGAAGGGGTCTTTTCATATAAGCTAGTCGAATGTTTTGGGATGATTATTTTGTTACCATGCCTTGTTTGGTATCGGTGATTGTCACAATTCCTGGTTAAAAACTTTATATTTCGTTTAATATAGCATACACAGCTATGAATATATATACACGGAACAGTCAATAATGAATGTTTCTTGAAGTATGGTTTACATGAGTCTGTTTTTTTCAAGTTAAATATAAGTCTAATGGCCCTCTTCTGCCATACACATACTCTATTTATTTCAGTGGCTCCTCCCCATAGGATAATATTATACATGATGTGTGAATTCATGATAGCTTAATAAACTTTGATCAGGGTTGTTTGGTCGAGTTTTTTCTTTAACTGAAATAGTGCGAAATATCCACTTGATAATTTTTTGCACACATGATTGATTTGGTATTTCCAGCATAGTGCTTCATCCAAATGTATTCCTAAAAACTTGCTTCTTTCTGAGGGTTCAATGGTGGTATTATTGACATTAACATTCATTGAGATATGATTTTTCTGTTTTTTTTTCGAAAAACTGTAACAATACCGTTTTTTTCGGCGTTCACTATTAATTTGTTACGTTCGCACCATGTAGTGAATAGATGTGCCACAGCATTCAATCTAGCTTGTAGTTCTACAGGATTTTCAGCAAATAAAACAATGCATTTTGATTTGATATAGGATGGCATATCGTTTATGAATAAAAGAAATATCAGAGGTCCTAACACTAACGCTAACGAATAAAAAAAAATAGAAGAAGAAGTAAAACTGGTAAACAAAAACATACATAACCACAAAATGCACTCGGATCAGCAAAGGGTTGCGTGCAAGAACTGTCAGATGACCGACCCTGGAGGCACAACATTGAAACACAACCTCACTTTTCTTATTTGTTTACAAGTGATCGGAATAGTTTTTCACAATTATTTTGGCATACGAATTGTATTTTTCGGCTATTCATCAATTCGCTCATGCCATCACATTGTGCTGTTGTACAATGCAAAAAAACTGCAGCAGAAGACGAAGGAATCCTGTTGGTACATTATGATTTAAAAGTAAGTACCTACTATAGTCACTCACATATAGTTTTCATTTTTGAAATTTGGTAATTTCTCTGAATTCTCATCGGAATTCCTTCTTCAATAGGAGCTAATAGAAATACACGTGAAATTTCTAAAATAATGCAAGAAGATTGGATTCATGCAATTAATCGGGAGGACTGGTCTGAAATGCTGACGATCGTGTGTGTTGTAGACATTTTCAATCTATTAGCAGTATTTGCTTCTATTGCAGAAGTGGCAGAAGGCAGAAGGAATTTTAATAAGGAATGACATTATTTCATAATGATAACTATGTGAGATTACTATTTACCTGAAAAATCATATTCCGTCGTCTCGCTGCATTTTTTGTGCATTGTACAACAGCACATTGCGAAGGCATGCTTGAATTAATGAACAGCGCAAAAAACACGATTCGTATGCCAAAATATTGTGAAAAAGTATTTCAATCCTTTGATTCCTTTGTAAAAAAATAAAAAAGTGAGGTTGTGTTTCAATAATTCACAGAAGAGTGAGGTTGTGTTTCAATATTTTGCTTCCAGGGTCGGTCATCGTGCACGCGACCTATGCAGAGGGTAGTTGGCTTCATTCAGACAGGTTATGGTTTTGTTATTTATGCATTGAAATATCTCGAATAGAGCTGGATCAATAACGAATTATCATTAAATCAATGAATCACTATCGGTTACATTCAATGATACCATCCTTCCTAATTTACTGTCATCGGTCAGAACAGAATAAAGCCGACACCCATGGCTCCTTCCTCTTGTTGTGCCTGTCAGTATTTTGAGTGGTGTTGTTGCAAGATATAATCTGCAAGTTTCCTAGAAAATAGATCCGTTTTATTAAGGAACTAATTCATTAACCAAAAAATTACTGGCAAGTTATGAATAACATATTATCTCAAAATATCATGATTTATCTAATCAACTTCATTCAGCCAATGAGAGATTTATAGGAATTATTCATAATACTTGACAAAGTAGGATTGAAGAACCTATTATATCCCATTGTTGTTATGATATAGTTATTATGCTTTCAAAGAACAATTTCCGGGAATCTAGGCATATTGGTGATGTCGGCAACGTCGTACTGGCACAGGGAATCGTATTCTGACTGTGTGAATGTGGATTTCCAGAAAGTACGTCATAGGAATGGTGGAAGAGCCAAGTTTCTCTTTCATTTATTCATTTCCGAAGTGAAATTTGATCTTACGAATAAAAGAAAAAATACGTATATATAATTTTTTTTACAAACTTCACAGTTTGAAGAATGATAAAATGACCGAAACTTGCAAGCCAACCAACTCACCTGGCATAAACGTGGTCATACAGTGTGTCCCCACTTTAAGCAGCATCACCCTTGTATTTTCATGTTTGTTGATCGATTTCAATATATTTTTCTCTCAACACGTAGTACTCAATTAAACGGTGAACTATGATCAATTAAAAGTGCAAAAAATCATTCAATACACATAATTACATCATGATTATATTCCGTTTCTCCTAGAACACCGTTTCAGTAGTTCTTTTGTAGTTTCATATTCAGCAGAAGCAACACTGAACTTTCAAGTTATTCATGCAAATTCACAGTATTTATATATTCAGTGATGGTTGATGCTACTGTTTCTGTTGTAGTAAAATGGTAAGGAAATATATTTTTTTTGTTTCATTTCAGACAAGGATAGAAAGTTTTATACAGAAGTCAGAAAGGCGGCTATTTACGAATTTCCATAGGTGAGTGAGATGTGTTTCTTATATTTTTATTTTACTCCCTGATAGGTCCTGGAATTCGATAATGTTGCAATTGAATTCATTGTATATCTCTAGATTTTTTGGCATTTTCTCTCCTCTGTCCGCTTTTCTGAAAATAAAAATGAGTATCATTTCAATATATCTGTAGTGAAGACAAATCAGAACAAATGCACCACAACAAAAGAAACCATCGGTAACAACAACAGTAACCTAGTTTATCATTTTCTGTGAGCAGTTCCCGAAAAATGCCGTGTCAATTAGAAAACTTCTCACCCTTAATATCTTCCTTCCAGTAAATGAATGAATAAAATGAAAAATCGTAAAGATAGGTAAATTTCAATGCCAAGGGGGACACTTCAAATGCATATTTTTAGCCCTCTTGGTTCAACCCCCTAGAAGGGGTAGATGTTACCCTTAATATCTCAAATGGGACGGGGGGTCAAATGGCACATCACATCAAAAAATCAACGTAGGTGATCCATAACTTACAGTGGAGGTGATATAAATCAGGAGGGGTGAAAGAACTTACAGTTACAACTCCCCAACATAAAAATTTGAGTAATCTAAATGTACCCACCATTATTGGTGGAGAAAGTTCACATAATACAAAACATGGGAAAAAAATTAATTTTGTTTATAAACCGCGCATAGTGCGGGTGAGTTAATGTAAGGGAACCATATAAAGCTCAATAAGTGCTTAGATAATTAAAATTGTGAAAAAATTCACTTAGCAAAATGAATCAACATGTGGAACTGGATTTATTCCTTAGTTTTGACTTGACGGTTGTCATTCTGATGTTGTGTTTTGTCCTCAGCGTCATTGTCATCAATTGTCATTTGTCGATTGTCATTTGTGATTAGTTAACCTAATTCAACAAATCCAGTTCCACATGTTGGTTCATTTCGTTAAGTGAATTTTGTCACAATTTTAATTATCTAAGCTCTTATTTTTGAGCTTGTGACTGTAAGTTCTTCCACTCCTCCTGACATCAATAAATAACTGATTTATGGCGCAAAAAGTATCATTTTTGTAAAATTTGACGTTTTTGATAGGTGTATCTCAGGAGATATTCTGCCTGCTATATGATCGATGGTATACGAAACCTCTTAGCTACAACGCCTGACAAGCAGAAAACTAACCATGTATTTCATGAGACAAGTTGAAATGTATGAAAAAATAAAAAAATGTTCTCGAATCATTTTAAATCTTTGATTCAAAATCAGAGCTTAGCATTCACTTGCGGTATCAGAATTCAGAACACTTTCTGATTCTCCTGCTCTAGTTCTTTGAAAACTAGTTTTGTTCGATTGTAGACTAAAAACTAATGAAAAAAACCTTCGCACAAGTGCCCGGTAGGTGGCAGAGTATTCCCAAGAATGACTTGCTAGAGTACTATTTACCAAGCAAAGTATCCTCCAAGACACACCATACCGTGTAATGTATCTCCTTGTATACAATTCGATTCTCCCTTCATCTGGCAATGTATATTATGTGAGATACATTATTTTGAAAGACGTGTCAAGTTTTCGTAAAACAATAATTAGTACAATAAATATAACCAAGGAGTTACCTATACAAATTATAACGTATATACTAGTCATAGTTTATTATGATGTCATGGTTTACTTGTGAAGCTTGACAGTTTGTCAGTTGTTCTTATTTTTCCCTGTTTGGTTTTAGTTTGTAGTATATTGAATAAGAAATTCATCATCTGAAACAGAAAGTTACTATATATATTTACTAGAAATATGGATATTCCAACCCATAACTCAACCACTCCTACTCCGTGAACTACCTTGGTGAGTTGGTTTGTAAGTTAGGTTAACTATTACGTCATAATTTGGAATTAGTTTGCCATGAGAGTGGTAGACACCGACATCAGTTATCTTTTAACTATTTCGAGAAAGAAACTTTCCCTTCAAAAGTGTCCAATGCCAACCTTGAAAATAGCTGAAAACCTCTACCACTGGAAACAGGTTATTTTCATAAAATATTGATACCGACTCTCGAATCGCGATAAATTATCAAAACTCTGATGTCAACTGATTCTGAGGTTATTTCAGTTCATCATATTGGTTGCCTGTAAAAAATGACACTCATTATTGTATCATGTCGTGATGTCCTGTGACCCCTGTCACTGTTTTTAGGTTAATTCAAAACAATTAAAAAAGGAGCATTCAAGAATTTTGATAATTTTCATTTAGTGTAGATTATCTATGATTCAGACATCCAAGAAGTACCTGTGTACCCGTGAAAATATTATGTTGAGCCCTTATTAGAGAAGAAAGGAAGGATCATCATATGTTGGAGAACATTGAATTTGGGATTGGTATGATTAACAAAACGAAGAGTCAAATTACAGCGCGAGAAATGGCCTACCTTGATTTTTCGTTCTTTCCCAAGTTGTGTAGGTTTTCCCAGCTGGTCGGGGTTGCAACCACCAATCTCCTGCTTTCTGGGAAGTGGACTGTATTTCTGGAAGGATCTCACACACTAAATATTTATTGAGAGAGGTTTTGGGTTTGATTGAGTAGGTATTTTGCCGGGTTATATATTTTTACAGAGGTACTACTCTTTTTCGGCCGAAACTGGCACACGTTCGGCCAATGCGCAGAATTTGACTCTATTCCGCGGAATATGCGAGAATTGAGATACAAGGAAATTAATATTCTCAATAAACAATCGCCGAGATATCAATATAAGAAATTTTGTAATAATATGATTTTGCATGAAAAGAAAATTAATTTTAACTAGATATACTATATAACTTTACTAAACTAAAGAGGTGGGGCGTGAACATCATAAAAATAACCAAATTTGCATAATAATATCATAACCTCGTATTCCAAAATGTACAGGGTATCCCAATTTGGGCACTTACCTACTAGAAACTGTACTAGAAACCACACAACAGGCCTGTTCGTTTGTGTTCGCTCTACCTGCTGAACTTGATTTTTTTCTATGACTTTCTCAGTTTACATCATGCCATGAACAGAGACAACTATGGAAATAAAATCAACTTTAGCAAGTTTAGCAAACACAAACGAACAGACCTAACTACTCATTACCTGTTTTGTTTTGAATTAACTTTAAAACGGTCACAGGGGTCACAGAACACACCAACATGTGTCATTCATCTTACAGGCAGCCAATATGATAACTGATTTTATGAAAATAATTTGTTTTCAGTGGTAGACGTTTTTAGCTATTTTCAAGGTTGGCAATGAATTGCTGAACCCGTCCATTGACTACCTGTTTAACTGAATCAGATTCTTTTTAGGCAGGTATTCTGTTGGATGGATCGTTGGTATGGATTGACGATGGCAGACATTCGAGCAATAGAAGAGAAAACAAAAGAAGAACTGGAAGCCCTGCGTCAAAAGGGTGAGGTTAGAGGCATGAAAGCCGAATCAGATTAATGGCCAAGGTGAACATAATTCATAGCTAAATTTAATTTAAAAACCGACTTAAACGCCCCCAAGGAGCTATCTGGATATAGCTAGAGTCCCTGAATGTATAATTCCCTGTATATATTTGTCAGTTTTGTTGTAATAAGAGTACGGACACTATGACAAGCAGTGACGGAAGGCATAACCCCAAATTCTCAAAATGACTTTTGAACAAAGACATGGATATGCTTTTCCATGCCCTTCGGATCTTCTATCCTCTACTGCCGCGGTGAAGGGTACATCCATATATCTTTCTCTGTCTTTATTTTCATAAAGAAGTGGCGTCTCATCTAACTGGCGAAAAAGGGTCATAGTTTGTAAATCAATTTGTTGAAAGTATTTCTCGATATACTTAACAAAGGGTATATGTACTTGTTGGTTAGAATGGGGGAAATGGAATAAATGAAAGGACTCGCTTCCATTTTTGCAATTCTCCACTACACAATTAGACATTTTAATTTTTGAAAACCTGAATTTTCAAATAATTTAATGTCATGTACGTTCATGAACTGTCAGTGCCCGCCAAATTGTTCATGTCATTTCAAATTTTTTAGGGTTATGCCTTCTGTCACTGCTTGTCATAGTGTCCGTACTCTTATTACAGCAAAAGTGTCAAATACATACAGGGACTCTAGATATAGCTAACGTGTATGGCATTCTTGGAACTGATGGCCACAGTATTTTTCATGTATGCCTGTCAGTCTTGAGTGAACCCAGTATTTTTAAGTGTTAAAAATTTTAACTGATTTAATCAATTCTATACGATGCATTTATGATTCCTCTCTGATATTTGAAAGATGAAAAGGTTTTTATATTTTATGTAGTTACCACAATTTTTTGTAAAAAAGGTTTTTTTCAAGCAGTTCGAGAAGGACTGTTACTATTTTTATGAGTAAATGTTCAAGGTGAGAATACAGATCTAGGGAAAAATAATGAAAAGTCATGTATTGAATTTTTTTTTATTGTATCAACATTTTTATTATATGTTGCTTTTTGTTTGAATAAAAATGTAGTTAGGATGTGGGTTTTTTATTTAATTAGAAAGTGTTTTCATTATTTTTCTACTGATAACAAATTTCTTACTTTGTGAGTCAAGAATTATTGAAGTTATTTTCTACTAGGTGATTTTTGAATTAGTTTGCTGAAGTAAATTGTCGAAAATTAGTGGCATTTACTTCAACAATTGAAGTGTACATTTTTAACATTTCACCAGGGTCATTATATTATACTGGAAGGGTTATGGCGAAACTACCATGTTGAGTTATTGGAATTTCTTTCTGCTGACGTCACATTTGCAAAACTTCTTTTTCTATCTCTTTATTCACATTTTGCGATGAACAGAGGTAACTATAGAAAAAAATCAACCTCAGTAAGTTCAGCTACACAATGGAAAATTCCCATTATATTATTTATACAGGTGACAGAAGCCAATACATTGGGCGTTAGGTTCGCGAAAAATGAACAAGACATTTTGAAAAAGGAAACAGACCATCGGGACACGAAAACCGAATAATAACATTTTCTTTGGAAGAGCACTTTTTTATCAATACTCTCAAAATTTCCTATTATTATCATCAACAAAAAGCTTGAATCAAATTTTATATTAATCAGGAATTCCGAAATTCATGATCATCACACTAGACAATATAACTTGAAGCTGCAAATTCTAAACTTGGACAAAAAAAGTTTACACATGAGGCGATTTCGAAATTCAATAATTTACCAGATGATATCAAAAACAGCCCAAATATTATGCAATTCAAAAATAAAGTTAAGAAATATATTTATATGCAAAGGAATGACCAAAGCTGAAAGACTATGGATTTCCTTTTTTCTTTTTTTTCACTGTTTTTATTTTTCCCCTTCTTGTTCACTATAATATGACTGTATCTTAATGATATGTAAGTTTTGTTCACTATTTGTAATTTCAATTATACAACAGTCGATAATACTTCATGAATGATCTTATACCAGGAATTACTGTCTGATCATTCATGGCATTCCTACTAGAAAATTAATTATACTTTATATATTATTTGTATGAAATGTATCAATGAAGAAGAGAATGTAATGCAATAACTGAAATAAATGAATAAAAATAAATAAATATCAAATTGATGGATTGGATGGATTTCGCTGACTTCTTATTCTATTTCATAAAAAAAATCTGGTTTTTTCAAATTTTTGGCTCGTAAACTACTTCATTGATCCACCATCTTAGTGGTGTCTAGTAAAGTAAGCTTCAATGGTAGTTTTCATGCTAGGATTATGAGAGAACAATCATAGCATTCAATATTTTATTTATGAAGAATGTAATTATGAAAAAAAAACAGTCAAGATTATAAACAATGGGCATAATGAGGTCCAGCTGATCATGGGAACCGGTGATTTTTGAAAACACCATAAATTTACCCAGATAGTCAGGGATATATTTAAGTACTTATAAGTGTAGTGAAGAATCAGGTCCTAGTTTTTAGGATAATTCCTTGTTAAAATCAGCATAACCCCAACCTAATAAATATGCCCTCGATCCACGTGAGTCGAGAGAAAACAGGAGAACTCGTTGTTTCTACTTGTTTCTGCGCAGCTCAAGGACTATTTCAACAATGTGTAACGTGAACAAACCTTTTTAGAATCAACACAGAAACATAGCCTTGAATTATTTTCCAAGATGTTGGTAGCAAGGTCACCTCAGGTAGTAGAGTGACGTCCTATTGACCTCATTTTTCAGTCATGCAATGAAGGACGTCCTATAATGACGTCTGAAAGACCCTATAATGACGTTAAAATGTCAATCGTCAGATGTAAAAATAACGTCCTATTAAAGACGAAATGAATAAAATCCTGAGGTAATATTTATCCGGTATTATAGGCTCATAATAATACACCACAAACCAATGATGAAATTCATTTGGAAATATGCGTTGTGGTGACAGTTCAATCCTGGCGCAATCATTAGTACGCATGACAATACCGTTAGATATTCCTATTTTTTTCTAACGTTATGTAACGTGCGTCGGCGAGATGTAAGCGGACTTGGGGAATTAAGCTTCACGTTGTAGAGAAGCGTATTTATATTTACCAATTTGAAACGACTAATTTTTCTCATCCGGTCGAACGGAAACATGTAGGACTTTGTCGGGATGTCATTTAAAACCTCCAGTATTAGGTCATATTTTGGTCAAAAGACGTCGTGGACCAAATGTGACGGTAAAATCGAGTCAATGGGACGTCTTCTTAGGTCACTCTGCTACCTGGGCCATGTACTGCACTGTATTATGAAAGCTCGTTTGCGCCGTAACCCTGTATATGAAATATTATAATATGATAACCCTGCATTTCACCTACTGTTTGAGGAGCCATTTTGCCAAAAAAAGGTTTCTCTAGAAAATTGTACTAAATGTTTAGGATGTAGCATATTACTATTAGAATTTGGGAACATACAGACAATATGATGTGGTAGGGGAAATTCAAATATTGTATGTCTCTCTAGTCATTACATTGTACTTGTAGCCTGATAAGAAGGTGATTTTTTCTATTGCCGATTCAGTGTTAGTGTTTCACTTGTCAAAATGGTTCCGGTTATAGACTTCTAAATGTTTTTCATTCTGTGGTGGTGATTACTAGAGTAACTTTAGTGTGGATCAAAGTGTTGTGGGTTTTTTCTTTATAAATTTTCGAATGGAGTGGGAAAAACACATTCTTACTCGATGTCCCGTACCTCTTGTGGAAGATCTGAAACAACAGACTGCCCCAATTACAAAAAAATTCATGTGTAAAATGATCTCATCTTTTATTTTGAATAAAGATATATTTGTCATTAAACAAATATTTACCGGGAAAAATCAGAAAAACTGTTTTTTAGCATCTTCAGAGCGTTCCCAAATGTGATGAGTACACGCTATCGTAGGGGGCTTTTGAGGAACTATTCAGGACATCAATATACCCGGAAACATACCCAAAAAAAAACCGGCCACCAAAAAAAAAAATGTGCCCAAATTGTTGACCCTGTAACTTTTTTAATCCTTGTCCGATTCTTGTGAAATTCTGATCAAATCGTAGATTCATGTTCCGGAATGTTATCCTGAATAATAGTTTTTGTGAAGAGCTGATGACTTGAGTATTATACAGGGAACAAAACCAAAGTTATTATATAGATCTGAATTTAGATCTATGGTTATTATTTCACTCTTTACTTTTTGACGCCCTGTGGCAAAATAGTGAGGTTGAACTTGGCTTCATTAGGCTTTGAATTGAAGTGTGATTCCTTCTCAAGACAATTGTTTTTCAATCACGTCGATATCTTATTTTTAAGAGAAGATACGAGTTCTAAGAAAGTATGACATTTTTCAATTCACATTAACAATAATCAGAACCAACGTGAACTTATTGATTATCAACTTAAAGGATTAATATCACTTATTTCTACCTCATTTCCTTAGCACTTACCAGAATAAACCTTTATTACAGTAGACGAACAAAAAGCAAACCTGTAGTCAATAACGAGTATGCCCTCCTCGAGTTGGAATCACAGTAATCAACCGACATGGCATTGAGCTGTTCAAATTTCTCAAGTAGACTTGAAGAGCTGCCTCAAATTCTTCTTGAAAGGCGAATCGTAGCTCTTGAAGAAACTCTGACAAGGTATGACGAAGGCGAATATAAGTCTCTGGAGTTCATCCTTAAGATGATCTAAGATGCTCTATAGGTTCCGAATTATTGTTGATAAATCAACTCCTACACGGAAATAGTATATTGTTAACGAGCACGGAATTATAGTGGAAAATTAGTCTCTGGAGTTCATCCTTAAGATGATCTCAGATGCTCTATAGGTTCCGAATTATTGTTGATAAAGCAACTCCTACACGGAAATAGTATATTGTTTAACGAGCACGGAATTATAGTGGAAAATTAGCCTTCTGCTTTCCTCTCAAGTAATGCTCATCTATTAGACAAAGCTCTCATTGCTT